TTCCCCCCAAGGGAGGAGGAAATCCAAGTGCTGCATCCCACGCTGGCACCCTGGTTGATAGGGCAGGGAAGACAATGATAGATGATGGATGCAGTGGCCTTTTGGCCTCTGACATTGTAGTCCAAAGTTATCCCAAAGAAGGGAGATAAAAATGGGAAGAGAAAGCTCCATTTGGAAGTCAAAAAGGCATTATAATCTCCTAGGAGTACACCCTCTCCTAAATTCCAGGGCCTTGGCAGGGCAGCAGTGATACAGCCGCCAAAGAAAATGACCATATCAACCGAACCATGGGGACAAGGCAGCAGCACAGGTCAGGAAGCACAGTGATGGTTGGACGGAAGCAGTAGCACAGAGGAAGGGCATAGGACATGCAGGGAACTCTGGAATAAAGGGAATTGGCTTGGGGGGCCTTGCAGTCCCAATGATCTCACAGGGTTGATGGTCAAGTTCACTCACATTGTGACTATCACCAATGCTTTCGGTCATTCATTTATTTTGTATTCCATAAAACTTTGTTTATATAACATCTACATGTCAGGCACAGTGGCTGTGTTGGCCTAGGCCAGGAGTAAGTGAACCTTTTCTGGAAAGGACCAGACAGTAAATATTTTAAGCTTTGTGGGCCACGTGGTTTCTATTGTAACTGCTCAACTCTGCTGCTGTAGTACAAAAGCAGCCACAGACAATAAATAAACAACTGTTTGCTTATTGGATGTGTTCCAATAAAACTTCACTTATAGAAACAGGTGGTGGGCCACATTTGGCCCATGGGCCTGTTGAGGATTAGAAAATGATACCCCAAAGTGAAGGCCTCAGAAGCATGGTTTCTCTCTGACCTTCTGCTCTCCTCTCTCTCACCCCTCAATCTTCTCCAAAGCTAGGCGTAGAAACTAGAATTCCTCTTCCCTAAGCCAGGTTGTGGTAACCAGAGCCCCCTTTTCCCAAAGCAGGCCACACATTCTGAAAATATTACTTAATTTTTCCCCTGCCTTTCTGTGTAAGAACTGGCCATAAAGAAATTCTCTGACTCCACCTTGTTTGAGTGTAAGTCATAAGCCCCCCATTCCAGAAAGTGTCTTGCCCCGTACCAGGAAGGAAGACATGCTGCACAGAGAGGCCAAGGAAAACCGAATGGATAGGCCCTGCTGAGTTTCCTACTCAGTCTATTCCCATTAGATTATACCCTTTTGGTCCAATCACAATTGTACGTGGCTGTCCATTCATTGAACCTAATAAAAATGGACAGTTTTCCCTGTATCTTTGGATCTTCGTTCTGAAGGCTCCCATGTCATGTAAAACTATGATCACATAAATTTGTTATTCTTATCTCTTGTTAACCTGTCTTTTGTCATAGGGGTGTTGACCATGATCCTTATGATGGGAACGAAAGGGATCATCCCCGTTCAGCCCCTACAGACCATCGTTCGCCAACATTTTGTTTAGAAAAACAACAGGTGCTGGTTGTTCTGACGGCCTTTTCAGATCCGATCTATAGCCCTTTCTGGCCCTGCTCTTTATGCCGTGAGACTGACCTCGGCAGACTGTGTAACCCACGCTCTTGCCGTCGGGCTGCTGGCTAGACTTGGTCAACAGAGGCCTTGGCAGGAGATGGGAAATTGGGAGGAGAGAGGGATGGGGGAATATGGTCCTTCTACTCCCTCCCTCCCTCCTGGGCTGGGTTGTGCTCTGCATACAGTCACAGCTCTGACTGCTGGCTCTTACCTATGGCTACACCTCTCACCCAGTTCCAATACCAGCTCCTTCCTCCTACACCTTCAGCCCTAGTGGCAGAACTAGTCTCCCACTGTTCCTAGCCCTGGTGCTTCCCCAGCCCTTGTTGGTTTCCTTAGCATTCCCCACACCCCCTGTGTGGTCCCTTCATTAAACTCTCTCCGATTGCCTCTTTGAGTGTCCATCTATTCCCTGCTGGAGAGTGTTTGAATCGCCCTTGTAGAGGACATTCACGGTGTCTAGATGTAACAGTACTGGCTCCAATCTCAGATCTAGGATGGAACACATAATCTAGACATAGCCAATCAGAGCACTGAGTCACCCAAGCCACAGTAATTGGTTCTGGAATGTTCATATGAACCAAATTGTTTCAATTGAAGGGAATACCAATATGTATATAGAGGCTACCAAGAAGTGCTGTCTTTTCCAGTGGATTTGAGTTTAGGAAAGTATGAATTTGAAGCTTCCAGAGAATACTGTCTGAAGCCCGAGGATAAGGCCCAACATCAAAGAAGGCAAAGGCCAATGGTGGCCTTGTTTGAGTCCCTGGAACTGCCTGAAACTGGATCCACTCCTCAATGCTTTTGTCAATGAGACAATAAAATTCCTTGTTTTTTTTCTTAAGCCAGTTTAAGTTGAATATTCTGTCGCTTGTATTCAAAAGCAAAACTTATTTAAAAAGAAAAACAAAATTCATGACCACTTTACACCAATTTCATTACATTCTTTGGATTATCTAAGCAGGGAACCAGTCCTATGTCACCTTTGGGTTAGATTCACACCGATACAGTTTAGTTAAACCCATGCTGGATTTCAGCAGTGAGGGAAGCCAGGGAGTTGGTTTGCCATCAGTTTACTTCCAAAGGGAAATGACAGGAGTCCAGTAGCATCTTTGTTACAGACTCCCATGCCAGGAGGAAACATCTCCAAGCTCAAATCATACCTACTTGGACACTTGAAAATAGCAAAGAGAAAAATCTTCATCTGGACGGATGGGGAGGGAGATGGGCGCCATTATTGACAGTGCAACAATGAGTTAAAGCCTGGTGTTTATTAGCTGTTGTAAACAAATTATGAATTGGTGCCAGTAGCACAAATAGAGACTACATGGCATAATAACTATTAATTCACAAAGAGATCATCTAACACATTACTTAAAAGATCCTTTGTGGACTCCAAGAGTGTTAATTACACAAGACCTTGTTTATTCTCTATTTATTAACTCATTCAGGAATCTGTTGAGCGATTGTTAGCTTGATGCAGTACAGGGTTGGCAAATAGTGCTCATTTCTTGTGCCAATTGTGGTCATGACTGTTCAGTGGGCTGTGTTGAAAAATACTGTGATTCCAAATCTGGGCTCTATGAGAATGAATATTATGGTCAATTAGAGGCATCTTCTGTGGATGTAGAAGAAATGGATGTCCAAGGTATTTGTCATTCCTGCAAGTTGGAAAAGGTTTTGTCTAGAACGAGAAGGAGTAGATTTGGGATAAATCATTTCCATCCTACGTGCCTTTATTTCCTCAAATTTATAAAATAAGGGAGTTAATCCAATAATTTATAAGGTTTTTCCTTCCTACCTTTATTTATTTATCTATTATTTTATTTTTCCTTGTGTTTGGGGTGATTTCCCATCTTGTGAATGCAGTTCTCCCTAGAATAGAAGCTAAAATCTCACTTCCCCAGTCTCCTATGTAGCAAGAATTCAACTATGGGAACTAGGTCCACTGATCAGATATATCTGTTCTGAACTTATTTGAAAGCTCATGTGAGAGATGATAACATGCTACCCCAAAATATGTCTATAGGAGACCAGAATGTGTACCCCAAATATGCCTCTTTAGCATAAGGATCGTTTTGAGCTGATTATTTGGTAAATAGTAGACACAGGAGAAGCTCTGAAAATAGAGTATAAATTACCCTTTTGTAAGAGAAATTTGTATCTATAAAGGAAATCTCCATTTGTAAGGGTGTCTCCTCACTGTGCCAGGGAGAGAAGGATGACTCCAAAACTAAAAACACTTATCGGTAGACAAGGCAACTTAAATAAGGGTAAGTTTTTTGTATGCCATTATCCTTGTTTAAGGTGCTTTCACTGGCCACCTTCCCCTAACTGGGCCTTCCCCACAAACCTTCTCTGTTTCAGGAAATGGTATTTAAGCTAGAAGTCAAAGCCACTTGTTTGAGATTTACTCAAATGCTTTGAGATAGTCCCTGTCTTAGTCTCTTCGTACTGCTATACAGAAATACCTGAGACTGGGTAATTTATAAATAAAAGAGGTTTATTTAGCTCACTGTTCTGCAGGCTGTACGAGAAGCTTGGCACCAGCATCTGCTTCTGCTGAGGGGCTCAGGCTGCTTCCACTCATGGCAGAAGGTAACGGGAAGCTGGCATGTGCAGAGATCACATGGCAAGAGAAGAAACGAGAGAGAGTGAGGGAAGAAGACAAGCTCTTTTTAACAACCAACTCAGGAGGGAACAGAGCAAGAACCCACTCATTACCATGAGGACTACATCAAGCCATTCATGAGGGATCCACCCCCATGACCCAAACACCTCCCGTTAGGCCCCGCCTCCAATGTTGGCGATTGAATTTCAACACAAGGTTTGGGGGACAAACATCCAAACTATAGCATTCTGTGTGAAGGACCCCAAGGAATTTCACCGTGCAATATGACACCCTGGTATGCTGATTATTTTAAATTAAAGGCCCATGAAGATCATCAAATTCTGGAAGACGCTTTACTCTGATATTACCTTATCTACCTGAAGACTGGCCCTGCCAAAGAAAACATAATTGTCTTCTAATCCCCTCCCTAGAATTTCATTATCTATTGCAGGTAGAAAACTTAACAAATATAACCACACCTGGATGCACTTCTTAACAAGATAATATCAAATTCCAAAGAAAATCACTTACAAGCTAATTTCTGTCCCCTGGTCCATTCATTCTCCCTAAAAAGCATACTACATGTCAAAATAATTGCATATGTTCCTCACCTGCCCCCCTCCTCGTACGAAGTAGGGTACATAATCCTCTGGACCTCATCAGGTTATTTGGGTAATCCTGCTCCTATGATTTTCCCTTGTGCATGTTAAAATACAATTTGTATTCTTTTCCTATTAATCTGTCTGCTATTGGTTCATTTTAAGTGAACCTTCAGAGGACAAAAGGAAGCTTTCTTTCTTCAACTTTATACCTGAATATCTCCCATGTATACTAAGCTTCTCTTTGCTTTTTTCCTGTTAATCTCTCTCTTATTACAGGAGTCTCTTCCAACTAAGAACTCAGAAAAGGTAGAGGAAGAATTGTTTTACCCTCCCCTCCACTGGCGATGGTGAAAGGCAAGTCCTGCGTAGAATCCATCTGGCAAGGGTAAAGGCAGAGACCTTCTGTTTGTAGGAGCAGCAGTGAGAGGCTGGGCTGTGGTGGCTGTCCCCGGCTGGGTGGGGGACACGTCATCAAGCAGCTCTGTAGCACAGGTGGGGGCATTTCCTGGCTGCCAGCCTCTAATCCTTCATCTTGGAGCCTCCCTATGAGCCCTTCAGCTGTTTAATTCTTTTTGAAATAAAATCATTTTATCGCTGAAATGAGCCAGAGTGGATTCCTTTGTCCTCGAGGAACTCAAAAACTTGTGATCAGGACTGAACATCTTCAAATAGACTTTTTTTTATCTTTTAAAGATGAAAAACATTAAATCTCTTTTAAAAATTGTAAAGAGGGTGCCTAGCTGATAGTTTTCAAAATGTACACTGTTGCAATTATCAGCAGGATAGTTGTTGTATTTGGATAAATGTGTCAAAAATAGAGGTTATTCTCACTTTTATCTTCTTTATTACTCTTAAGTGCACTAGAGAAAGTGTAATTCCTTCAGTGTTTGTTTCACAGCTTTACATTGAGAGAAAGACCCTTTTTCTTAATCATCGCTAGTGTGATTTTCAAGAGTTAGCAGGAATACTTTGGTTGGGTTTTTATAATTTTAGTAATCCCTTTCATTTTCTAATGAAGATTACAGCTAAGTATCTCACAAGGATTAATGGTCACAGCAAAGAAACCGACTTGACTGATTGTATTTATGAGAGTTTCTTGAGAATTTGAAACTTACTCCTCAAACTTTGCACAAGAGCAATCACATTGTTTTATTTTCTTCAATCAATTAAAATTTCACCTCAACATCCAGCCCACCCTGCTGATGAGACAGAGGTGTTTAGTGCCTCATTGTAGCCTAGTGGGGCTTAAAAGGGCTTTACCTTCTTTATATTATCCATTAACAACCATCCTCCTGCTCTTTCAAATAGACAAGAGATATTTTCTTGGCTTTTTTTAGACAATAGATATTTTCTTGGCTTTTTATACAAAAGTAGTCTTCACATGCAAATTCAAGCCCCTTCTTTGTAATTGGATTGTTGCTCTTAAGTTCTTCCAGTATTGAAATTTTGGAGACTAAAGATTTGGATTTCTTCCTCCTCTTTTCCTACTAGCTCTTCATCCTCTTGGGATTTATAAAATTCCTAGTGTCTTACAGCAGCATGAAAACTTACTGGATGCAACTTCTAATTCCAGCCATGATAGAAAAATAGATATCAGACTTGCCTCCCCACTTTAAACAACTATAATGTTGGGCAAAATGTATGCAAAAAATTGGCCTGCAGGCATTATATACCAGGCAATAGAGGGGTATAATCCTTAATAGAAGAGAAATACACAAGGTGAAGTTCCCATTCATCCCTGTGAAAAATTCAATATTTGAGGAAAAAAAATTGTCTGGGGCACATTGCAAATAAAGGGACAGGGAAGTAGAGCCCAAAAAGAATAAAGTAGTTTTCTGGGCAAAGAAAAGATAGATCAGACTTGAGGAATTCTGAGACTGCTTGGAATTTTCAGGGTAGGGTACCTGAGAGGAGAGGGGCCCTGAATTTTGAATATGGGTCTCCTGAGTCTTTGGCTGGGTACTAAGCTTCACATGTTCAGGATGAGACTCTAAAAGGTCTACCAGAGGACAACTATGAATGGAGTGTGAGCTGAATGGGGATTCCAGAATTATTCCAGCTCTGATAAAACAGAGGGTAAAGACCTCATTAAAAACTTACAGCAATTAGTTGAGACTTCCTAGTAACCAAATATTAGGAATAGGAATACTCTAAACCCAGAGTTTAAAAAAACTCTTAGATTTACCCTAAGAAAGCCTAAAACCAAACCCTAACTATCTTAATCCATTTATGCTGCTACAACAAAACACCTGAGCCTGGATAATTTATAAAGAACATAAATTTCTCTCTCACAGTTTTGGAGGTGGAGAACTCTAAGATCAAGGTTCTGGCAAGTCAGTACCTGGTGAGGGGCTTGGTCTCTCCTTGCAAGATTGCATTTCATTGCTTGTTGCTGGGTCCTCCAGAGGGAAAGAACATTGGGTCTTCATATGGTAGAAAAAATGGAAGGGGAAAAAAGAGTAGAATGCTGTTTGAAGCCTCTTTAATAACAGCCTTAATCTCATTCACAAGGGTCCCCATGACCTACTTACCTCTTAAAGGCTCCACCTCTTGATACTATTACATTGGCCATTAAGTTTAAACACATGAATTTTTGAGGGAGTGCATTCAAACCATAGCACTGACAGATCAAGTAAATTAACTGCCATCCAGAAAAAAAATTCAGCACTTATTAAAGGAAGACTCTTAACCAAACAGCATCCCAAAAAAATCCAGCACACAATAACAAATTACTAGACACACAATTAAGCAGGAAAATGTGTTCCATATCCAAGAGAAAAAAAATTGTCAGTAGAAACAGATCCAGAGTTATCAGAAATGTTAGAATTAATGAGATAGGACTTTAAAACAGATATTATGAATATCTTCAAGAATTAAAATAATTGACAGTATGTGTGGACAGATAAGAAACATAATAAAGAAACGGAAACCATAAAAAAGAACAATTATAAATGCTCAGAGCAAAAAATGCAAGATGTGAAATAAAAAATTCTCTGTATAGGCTTAAGGCAGATTTGACATTGCAGAAAAAAAAAAATGTTCGGCTAACTTGAAAACAAGTCCAAAGGAATTATCCACATTTTAAATGAGAATTTTAGTAATAAATATCCTTTTGGTGACCTTATAGGATCATATTAAGAAATCTAACATATTTGTAATTGTAGTTCCAGGAGGAAAAGAGAGAAAAACTGGAACAAAAAATTTGGAACTAATAACTTTTTCCAAATCTAATGAAAAATAATAACTTCCAAGCCTCAAAATCTTAATAAACTCCAAGTAGGATAAATACGCAGAAAACTATTTCTAGTCCTATCATAGTCCAATTGCTAAGAACAACAATAATGCAAAACAAAAAATTCTTACAAGGGAGAGTTATCACAGGAGAATGATGATAAGAATATCCACTAACTTCTCATAGAAATCAGTGCAAACCAGAGACAATGGAATCACATTTAAAGGGCTAAAAGGAATGTGGGGAATCCCTGTCAACTTAAAATTCTATATTCAGAAAAAAAAAAACTTGAAAAATGAAGTAGAAATAAAGACATTTCCATATAAACAAATGTTGAAAGGATTTATTACAATAGGCTACACTATAGGAAATGTAAGCATAAGACTTTCAGGCTGAGATTAAATAATAACAGAAAGTTGGATTTACATGGAGGATTGAAGAATGCTAAAAATGATAAATATGCAGGTAAATACATTTATTGTTAATTTATTTAAAAGACAATTAGTTATTTAACATGTAAAAGATAATGTATTGAGGAGGTTTGTAATGTATACAGGAATTAAACATATGACCATAATGGTAGAAAGGACAGAGGGAAATAAAGGGAAGTATATTGCATGAGTATGCTGTGTTATCTGTGAAGTGGTGTAATACTGAATTCATAGTGGACTTTTTTTAAGGCAGAATCTCACTCTGTCACTTGGGGTACCATGGTGTCAGCCTAGCTCACAGCAACCTCAAACTCCTGGGCTTAAGCGATTCTTCTGCCTCAGCTTCCTGAGTAGCTGAGATTACAGATGCAAGCCACTACGCCTAGCTAGTTTTTCTATTTTTAGTAGAGACGAGGTCTCACTCTTGTTCAGGCTGGTCTCGAACTCCTGACCTAAAGCGATCCTCCCGCCTTGGCCTCCCAGAGTGCTAGGATTACAGGCATGAGCTACCGTGCACAGCCCATAGTAGACTTTGATAAATTAATGATGTATATTGTAGTTCCTCTTTAAAATATGAAATAAACAAGGATAGCTAAAAGTCAATAGAGAAGATAAGATGGAATAAGAAATATATTTATTTAATCCAAATGAAGGCAAGAAAGAAGGAACAGGTGAATAAAGGGCAGATCACAAATAGAACACAAATAGCAAAATAATAGGGTTAAATCCTAGAGTGTCAATAATTACATTTATATAAGTGGACTAAACACTATAATCGAAAGGTAGAAATTGTCAAGCTAAATAAATACTGGGCACAAATATATGTTGTTTATAAGAGTCATGCTTTAAACACAAAATACAAATTGGTTAGAACTTAAATTTTAGAAAAAGATATGCCATGTGAATACTCATTATAGGAAAGCTAGAATGGCTATATTAACATCACCCATAGTAGATTTCAGAGCTAAGAATATTGACAGAGATAAACAGGGATATTTCATAAGGAGGTCAACTAATCAGGAATATATAATAATTTGAAATAAATATGCATTTAGTAACAGCTTCAAAATACACAAAGCAAAACCTAACAGAACTAAAGGAAGAAGTAGACAAGTCCATAATTATGGTTAGAAATTTTAACACCTTTTTCTTAGTACTTGATTGAAAACCTAGGCAAAAAAAAAAAATAGCAATAAGGGTATAGGAGATCTGAACAACTCTATGACGAATTGGTATTATAGAACACTATGCTAAACAACTGTGTGCACTTTATTTGCAAATGCACATGGAGCATATGCCAAGACAGAGCATACACTGAACCATTAAACAAGTTTAAATATATTCAAAGAATTTAAATTATACAGAGTAAGTTCTCTGATTGCCTAGAATTAAATCATAAATCAGTAACAAAAAGATATCTGAAAACTTCACAAATCTTTAGAAATTGAGCAACACACTTCTAAATAACCCATGGATCAAAAAATCATGAGAAAACCTTAAATATCTCAAAATGAATGATAATGAAAATATAATATATCAAAATGTGTGGATGCAACTAGAGAAGTAATTAGAAGGAAATTATAGTTTTACATGCTTTATTGGAAAGACATGTTTAAAATCAGTGATTTAGATTCTACTTTAAAGCTACAAAAAGAGCAATTAAACCTAAAGTAGTCAGAAAATAAGAACTAAAAGAGCAGAGAAGAATGAAATAGATAAGATACAAATAACAGAGAAAATATTTGTTCTTTGAAAAGTTAATAAAATTGATATACCCCTAACAAGACTAATCAAGAATAAAAAGAAAAAAATTACCAATACAAAGTGAAAGAGGAAACATCAGTTCAGATACTTCAGACA